GGCTTTAAGTCCAAGTTCAACGTGCTAGTCTCTAGGGGCTGGGTGAAAGCCTCTCAACCTTGGGGTTCAGCTCTCCCTCCTGCTCCCAGCCCATTGGAGCTAGAGGATTTTCTTCACTCAGATAGCTACTGGCTGCTGAGAATGACAAGCCCAAGGTCAACAAAGAAAATCGCACAGTCCTGATGTTACCAAACCACACAGCAGGCCAGTAATTCAAGCCCATTGTAAGTCCCAAGGTCGGCATTGGCAGGCTGCTGAACAACGACATAGCTACATGCAGGGTCCAAGCATGCCATAACCTAGAGACCATTTCCAAAGCTGCTACTTATATACGGGAAGCAGACCACATCCCTAAGGCAGCTACACAGCTTCTCACAGTAGATTCCACCATGGAGTTGATTACCATGGTGAATACTACACCCAGCTGCCCAGCCACTCAGCCAGGCCCAGCCAAGTTGACACACAAACTTAACCACCACAGTCCCCTTTTAGCTCTATACTGCATAAGGACATTTTTATAGCACAAATATACATGTAGGAATATTACCTGCCCAACCTATTTATGGGAGCTCTGGTAGCATAGTGGCTAAAGCACTTGACTGCTAACCAGAAGGCTGGTGGTTCAAACCCACCAGCCACTCCTCGGAAGGAAGGTTGGGCAATCCTACTTCTGTAGTGATACTGCCTCGGAAACCCAAGGAGGGGTCGCTATGAGTCGGGGCCGACTCGACGGCAAAACAACAACAATAACAACAACCTATTTATGGTTGTGGGTATATTCCTGTTCGCTTACCTATACCTGATCTTCTTGCCTATCTTTTTATGTACTCTTTTGGGGTATTTTTGAGGATATAATGAGAAAGCAGTCTGCAAATGTTAGCAGATCTATGTTAACATGCAGTAAACACTCTATTACTGCAATCTTTTCCATTCTCATAGCATTTCACAAACACCTCTGTTATGACACTCTTCATGTTGCATCGTAATTATTCATGTATGTGTCTGACTACTTCCACTAGAGTGAGAATCAAAATCATTTCCCACTGTTTCCTTTTTCCCTTACCTCCTGCATTGGGCCTGCCACATAGGAGGCCCATCATTTGTTGAGCTGGATCTACTTTAATACTGAGATTCTGCTGGGAGGCGAGTCTTCAACTGTGAGTCTTCCTCCTTCCCTCCTTTTCCCTCTAACTTTCTTACTGAGGGCTGGACAGATCCTGCAGGACACGAGTCTTAGAAGTATATTGGAAGATCCTCGTAGACTGTACAATGCTTGGGGACAGGTTTCCAGCACTGTCCTGTATGCGCCAACATTTGTGTGAAGTAGCATTCTAGCTTTAGTAAGTTCTAGGATGTCTGTAGTATTTGTCTCCATTTAAGCAAATTTATTGATTTAATCAGTGCAGTTAATCCATGAAGCATTTATTGAGCACCTGTTACTGCCAGACACTGGGTTAGGCTTGGGAAATATAGAAATGATTAGGACAGTATTTGCATTTGAAGTATTTCACAGATGAGTAAAAACAGATGAGAATTTCTCTAGGAGGTAGTAAAGGCAGTGATGGAGGTAGAAACAGAATCTTATGAGAACACAGAGCAGAGCCTTTTGTTTTTCCAATTATCTTTTTTCCCTTAAGAATTCCATTGGCCCTGATTCTAACAGTCCAATAGTCAAATTGTAATTTTTTCCTCAAGGATTATTTGAGCAGTGGGAATTGGGAAGCAGAAAATGGCTAATGTCGATCAGCTAAAGGTTCATTGAAAAGCCCCTTCAGTGGAGCAAAGACAGGTAATTCCAAGGGCCAGGTGAGCAGTGGCCACAAGCTGCCATGGCTGTGGATGCAGTTTAGATGGGTGTGATGTGATTTGGGGAGCAGGCAGGTGCAGCAGAGGCTGCACTGGAATGAGAGAGGAGGAGCACATGTAGAGGCTGGTGATGTGAGGCCCTGCAAGAAATACCACAGGTTTGCTTTTCTCTTTCATGTTGGCTTGGCTTTTATTCTCTTTCCCATATGAGCATCCTTATTTCTTTGACGTTCGTTTCTCCACCAGCTTTTATCTCATCTTGCTTCCCTTCTGTTTTTGTCTCTGCATTTTCTTTTACTGTTCATTCCCCTCCCATCTTAGCCTCTCCTCCCTCTGCCATTTCTTCTCTTTCACAACACTTGTGCCTTCTTGCCTTTTAATTTTGTTTTTCTGCTCCTACCTCCATGTTCTGAAACATTCTTTGTTAAACCCAGGGCGGCAGGAAATTTTCATTTGTGGCAGCCCTTTTTATGATATGAAAGAGCATCTCATGTATATCTGGATATCCTAGGAAACAGACCTGTGGTTTCTGAATGGGGCAGATTTCTACCCACTGTGTTTGTAAGACAGAGTGAACCAGAGAGAAAGGAGAGTTTCCGAAGGGGACAGCAACGGGTTCAGGGTGCAGTACACCTTGCCTCTATTAGAGGAGTTAGTGGAACAATGGCCTTGTTTTCCTGTGGTTGTCTATCACTGCACCTCTCCTTGAAGTTTCTCTTTTTCTCCTTACTTCTTTATTTTTCCAGTCCTATGTTCCATGTTTCTCTTTGCAATCTCTTCTCATTAGTTTTTCCTTACTTAGTAGAATGATTGCTGGTTTCCCTCTTAATAGTGTCAGAGATCCTGTTCCCTCCCCTCAGTCCCTCCTGTTTATGCAAGGGCATGGTAGTTTAGGCTGAAAGAAATGGAGAAGATTTATAAAGTGTACCTAGCGACTATAATTCTTTATGATAGTAGGATTTCTTTCAGGTTCTTATTTTGAGGTAGTATTAACACAGAAGTTCAGCACCCACCATCAGTTTGCTGTGTTATGGTGACTTGTATATTACTGTGTTGCTCAGATCTATACCATCAGTATTTCAAATACCAGCAGGGTCACCCATAGTGGACAGGTTTCTGTGAAGCTTCTAGACTGAGACAGACTAGGAAGAAGATTAAATTCTGAAAATTAGCCAATGAAAATCCTATGGACTGCACCATAATATTTTCTGATACAGTGCTGGTAGATGAGCTTGCTGAGTTAGAAGGCACTCAAAGTACATAATGACCACAACAATGGTCTCGAGGTTACCAATGATTGTGAAGAAGGCACAGGACCGGCAGTTGCTTTTTTCTGTTGTAGCTGGGGTTGTCATGTGTCAGAGCCACCTTGGTGGCAATTAACAACAGCAATGAAGTTGAAAGAAATTCTACTAGACATTTAAATTAACCTTCAACCCAGTGTAGGAACCCTCTTTACTTCCAGGTAGATAGTTCTACCGTCTGTATTTGAATGTTTCATGTTGGGAAGTGTACTACTACACAATACAGTCCACTTTGTTGTTGGCCAGCAATACTTGTTTCAGAGTTATTGCTTATGATTATATTTATTATTATAATAAACATGTTATTATGATATTTATGATTATATTTTTCTTGATCTGTGTTATTTATACCTGTTGACTCTACATCTGCTTTCGAGAGCCACACAGCATAAACCTTCCTACGGTTTTCTTTCAAATATTGAAAGCACGTCAACTATTGAAGGGACTTCAAGTGTCTTTTTAAATACTTATTTCAAGTCCTTAAAGGAGGTTTCCATTATAAATAAACAAAAAAATCATTTTTGCCTTGACTATGTAGAAAACTCAGTTTCTGAATGACTCATTCCCCGATGATTCCATATAGCCAAGATCATCCTGTAGAGGTTATGAGAAAGAAAAAGAAAAGTACTATCCTAATGAAACCAAAAACCAAACCAAACTCACTGCCACTGAGTAAATTCCAACTCAATAGAACTGCCCTAAAGGGTTTCCAAGGCTACAAATCTTGATGGAAGCAGAGGACCACATCTTTCTCCCATGGAGTGGCTGGTGGGTTAGAACTGCTGACCTTTGGTTAGCAGCCAGATGCCTTAACCACTGTGCAACCAGAGTTCCTTATCCTGTGGAAAGAAGAATAAAATTAGCCGATGTTGCAAAACCAATATTACTAATATTTGAATTAGATAAAATGTCTATTTTACATTATAGTTTATAGAACACTCTTACTTTTCATTACCATGTCATTTTATTTTTATAATTAGGCTACAGTACTCCCCTATTTTGTAGATAAGCAAAGTGAGGCTCATGGAGATTATGTGACTTTCCTCAAGTCACCCAGATCTCAAATGAATAACTTAAGGCCTAAACCCGGTTCTTCTAATTCTTAGCCTTCCACTGTGTCTTTCATAAATACTTAAATGTCTTGATCTCTTCAAAGTCCCTGCAGTCTGTTAGGATTATATGAAATAAATTGTATTCTGAAGACAAGACACTTGGTGTACACAATCTAATAGGAATTTTATGGATTTTTGTTTGTGTGTTTGTTCCTGAATATGGCTATGAAAGATGAAAAAATGGAAGCAAAGAACCTCAATCCAAGTCACACAGTGGCTTTGGACAAAAGTACTGTATGAGGACCAGTGAAGTTATTTTCCAATAAAATAAAATTGGTTTATTTGATAAAAATTCTAAGTGTCAAGGTGAAGAAAAAATTGAAAAATGAGTTTCTCCTTTACTGATGTTAATGCACAGAAACTTTCTGAAGGAGATAGGAGACAGAGAAGTCTAAGAAAATGTTGAAATTAAAAAAGTGAGGACCTTGGTAGGTTGGAAAAGTGAAAGGAAATTGGCAGGGGGAGGAGGAGAGTAGGGAACAAGGTTTGGGGGGCAGGGATGAACTGATGCTGGGGCCTTTATATTTGCTCATGAGTTGGAATTATAATTCCAGTATGATGATTGCTTTTCCTGCCTTGCTAAGTGAAACCCAGAAAGCTAAATTTAATTCTACTTAGAACCACTGGTGATTCACCCAAGCTCAGGTGCACCCACGTGCAGCTGGCATCAGCTCTGTGCTTTCCAGGCGGCTTCTGCTTCATCCCAGCCTCCCATATATGGGTGAAAGGGGAAAGCCAGATTATAGTAACCTTGACCCTTCTGTTTCTCCATCTGCAGCATCCTAGCCACTGCGGGAACCCACTTCAACACGCACGTGGACCTGAGGACCCTGAGGGCTGTGCGTGTCCTGAGGCCTCTGAAGCTTGTGTCAGGGATTCCTAGTGAGCATCTGCCTTTCTTTTTTCTACTCTGCTGATAGCTTCCCTGCTGTGTCCTCAACTGGTTCCTGGGTCTTAGAGAATTTGAGATAAATAAGAAAGAAATTCTATGGGGGAAGTCCCAGTTGTTACAAGCAGTAGGGATGTGTTTTGGTTACCTTGTGCTATTCTGACAGAGATTCAACAGATGGATGGCATTAACAAACAGGGGTTTTTATTCTCTTAAAGTTTTAGAGGCTAGAAGTCCGAGTTCAAAGTGCCTGCCCTAGGGGCTAGGTGAAAGTCCCTTGACCTTGGGCTTCAGCTCTGTCTCTTGCTTCCAGCCCACTAGAGCTGGAGGTGTCTCTTCACTCAGGCAGCTACTGGCTGCTGAGGCTAACAAACCCAAAGTTGACAAATAAAATGGCACAGTCCCAGTATTATCAAACAACATGGCAGAACATTAGTTCAAATCCAGAGACAGTCCCAAGATCAGCAGGAAATATGGAAGGCTGCTAAATGAAGACCTGGCTTCATGCAGGGTCCAAGTGTGCCAAAAAAGCTGCAGAGACCTTTCTCAATGCTTCTCCTTATATACTGGAAGCAGACCACATCCCTAAAGCAGCTGCTCACTGCAGATTCCGTCATGGAGTTGATTTCCAGTCTCATCATGGGGAGTAACTACAACCAGCTGCCCAGCCACTCAAAAGCAGGCCCAGCCAAGTTGACACACAACCTGAACTACCACAGGATGCAACCATCTGATGTAACATTTCATATTTAAATTTAACAGCTTTTTTTTTTTTTTCCAGATTTAAAAGATGATGGAAAATCTTTTAGAAAATTTAGAAAGTAAAGAGAAGTATAAAAAGAAAAATGAAAACCACTTACTATGCTAGCATGAAGAAATAACTTTTAGAAACATTTTAGCATATTCTTTTCATTCACATTTTTCCCTGGACATTTTAATATAACTGGAATCATAGTATGCAAATAGTTTCAGATCCTGTCATAAGCATTTTATTTTCCTGACATCAAAAATACTTCAAAATATAATTTTAAAAATATGTATTATCATCTGTCTTCTATGCATTGTGATTTATTTAGCCATTTCTAGGTACCAGATATTTAGGTTATTTTAAGTTTCTTTCTTTTTTTTTTTTCAATCATAAGTAGTGCTGCAAAAAACAAAAGAAGAAAAGCATCTTTTTATTTAAATCTTTATTCAAATCTATTTGTTTAGGCTAGATTCTGAAAGTACACTTTCTGGGTCAGAGGATATGGTATCTAACTAGTAATGGTTGTACCATTTGTCCTTTCGCTGATGGTGTACAATACAGCATGGAGGAAACAAATGAGGGAATGGTTAAATGTAAATGATCAGGGAATGGTGAGGAGGAGGAAGGAATTTTGATCCCTGAGGGAAGGGGAGATAGACATCTTTGGCTTGACTTGTCCTGGTTTTCCTTTTGGGAATTGTCTTTATGATCTCAGGACCAATGGTCCTTTTCCCTTAAAGACTTCCTTTTCTCCTGCTAGGACAGAATAAATGGAGCCTGGCCAGTACTATGTTTAGTCTCATTCTCTTTGCTTCCTTCTAGGTCTGCAGATTGTGTTGAAGTCCATCATGAAGGCCATGGTGCCTCTTCTGCAGATTGGCCTTCTGCTTTTCTTTGCCATCCTGATGTTTGCTATCATTGGCTTGGAGTTCTATAGTGGGAAGTTACATCGAGCGTGCTTCATGAACAATTCAGGTAGGTTCACTATTTCCAGTCTTGTACTTCCTCCCTGCCTCTCCCCTCTGGTCATTGCGGTGATCCAGGGACATTCTGAGATTGCTTGGAGAAATATGTTCTACCTAGGACTTTGAATCAACTCATTCCGGTTCAATCCCTGCTGCTGAATATACTGACCCAGAATCTACATTTTAATAAGATCCCCAGGTGATTCTTATGTATACGTGAAAGTTCAGTATATCTAGTGTGGAAATGCAACAGTGGGTTGAATTGCAATGAACTGGTCTGAAGCCCTGGTGCTATCTTAATCCTGGAATTAGAATCAGAAGTTTTAGGAAAACAGGGTCAGTAGCATTTTGAGGCACAGCCAGTCTAGAAAGATCCCCTATTTGACTGTGATATTGCAAAGCAAATAACCCCTTAGGTTTGTAGTTGGAGGATTTCAAATAGGAATTCTTATCTCCCCCATCACATGGTAGAGATCTGTCAGAATGCATCTAAAAAGCCATCTGTCTGAAGAAGTACCCTTTGTACAGTGGACATTTTTGTCTACTGGCCAGTGAGAAATGGACTTGGGTTGTTCAAGAACTGTGAAACATTTCCCTCCATGCTCCATGTCATAACATTTCTTGTGTGCATGGATGAACAAGGGAGCTCTGGGTTTGGCTTGATTGGTAGGGTACACAAACCTCAAATTATGATATTCTGATCTCTTTGTATCTTATGGAGCTCTGGTAGTGTAGTGCCTAAGGCATGACTGCTAACCAGAAGGCTGTCAGTTCAAACCTACCAGCCACTGCTTGGAAGGAAGATTGGGTAATCTACTTCTGTAGGGATACTGCCTCAGAAACCCAAGGATGGGTCACTATGAGTTGGATCTGACATGATGGCAATGAGTTTGGTTTTTTTTTTGGTTTTGTATCTTATTTGTTCTTTTTATAGTTGAGTAGAGTAGGAAAGAAAAGGGTTAGAGAGAGGTTGAAGAATCCCAAATGGGTACCTTTTTTTTTTTCTTTTAAAAATAAAGAATCCTTAGAGGACACCTTCTACCTTAGATTTTTATTTTTGCCTTTTATTCAAGACCGGAAATACAGGCCAGAAAAAAAAAATCTCAGTTTTTAACTCTAGTTTATAATTGTCTCTGAGATACCCAAGAAGAGCTTAGGACTCTTCCAGGTGTCTGAAGTTAGAACATTAGTAAGTTTCTGCCTTCACGTCACACCTTCAGTGTGATCCAGTAATGCCACGACTGTGTTATTGCAGGTGAAGGTAGAGAGTGTGGCCTGCAGAAAGTGAGAGGCCATTTGGAAGAGATACTTCATTTTCAGAAGAGATTGGGACACATTGTGTTGAACACATGTTTGGGAGTTGTGAAGAGTAGAGAGGCCAGAGAGGAGACCTGAGACAAAGACAGGCAAACAGCTTTCTATGGGAAATAGAATTGCTTGCTTGTGGCATCCTGGGGTCATCTCTAGCTCATACTAAATACCGTATGGTTTATTCCCCACCCTCCAAATGTGCCTGCAGGTATTCTAGAAGGATTTGACCCCCCTCACCCATGTGGTGTGCAGGGCTGCCCAGCCGGTTATGAATGCAGGGACTGGATCGGCCCCAACGATGGGATCACCCAGTTTGATAACATCCTTTTTGCTGTACTGACTGTATTCCAGTGCATCACCATGGAAGGATGGACCACCGTGCTGTACAATGTGAGTGGAGCTGCTGAGGGGAAGGAGGAAATGAACCTGGAGTGAGGCTTCTGGGGTCATTTGGGCTTTGTTAGTCTGGGCAAGGGGGTGTGCAAAGGTAATATTAAAAATATCTAGTAGTTTGTTGGGCATGGGCACACTCAGGAATGGAGGCTGACTGTAAACAGTGGTTCGGTTGTTCTGTACATACTGGCTGTACATTATCAGCATTGGTTCTGAGTGTGTGGGGGTGTTGACTCAACCCTGGGATGTCTTAGCAGTTCCTGTCCATCTATTGCCTGACCTCTTGCTAAGTGGAAGTACACAACTTCTTAAATATAATTAGGAAATTGCATTCCATATTGAATGGGTGAACTTGCTAGTTAAATCAGATCAACTTAGCAATTGTATAGTGTATTCTGCTATAGGTTTGATGGTGGGGTACAGGGAGGGGTACCAAGAGAGGGATGTCTTGGTCATCATCCTGAAAGTGTTTAGCATTGTGTTGGGAAGATTTGTTAGAGTAGTTCTCAAGCCTGGCTGTACATTAGGATCAGCTGGGAGTTTTGAAAAATTGTATTGCCTGGGCCCCACTTCAGACCAATTAAATAGGACTATGTAGGGATGAGGAGCGCTGGTGGTGTAGTGCCTAAAGCATGTGACTGCTAACCAGAAGGCTGGCGGTTCAAACCCACCAGACACTCCTCAGAAGGAAAGTTGGGCATTCTACTTCCATAGTGATACTGCCTTGGAAACCCAAGGAGGGGTCACTATGAGTCGGATCCAACTTGACAGCAGGGCCTGCCATGGATATTTTTTCAAGCTTCCTAGCTGACTCTAATATGCAGCCACTGTCATGAACTCTGACATGACATGGACAGAAAACATCCTTAATTGTGGGACTCACCAGGCCCCTTCTCTGGAGATTCTGATTTTGTATAGTTTTCCATAGTTGGTGAGCTGTACTTTCTGTAAGTGCCCATGGTGATTCACATGATCAGGCATGTGTGGAAAGTTCTGAGCTGATGCACAAACCAAGGCTGTCTAACTGCCTGTCAGAGATGTTGGAGGATTTCTGCATTTGGACAGATGTTAAGGTAACCACTGAAGTGTCTTCCACCTCCCAGAGTCTCAGTAGAGATTCAGCTATATTGTAATCCCTGAAGAGCAAGGACTGTATAAGGCCAGTACTAGGAGGTGCTATGGAATTGTCCACGATTGACCTGGGTCCATTCCCATACAGGATGAGCAAGACAGGACTGAGAAAGCTCTGCAGAAAAGAGCCACAGGCTGTTGTGCAGTGAAGTTTCATGGATCAGCTTATACCAAGCAATACAGGGGTTAAGAGTGACCTCAAAACCCCTTGAAGACACTCTGGGATTCTCACCAGTTGAGAGGAGGGTGGGTAAGAAGAAGGAAAGAAAGGAAGTGAAGCAGATGAGTGCAGTCACTCCTCATTGGGGATGTTAGGGATGTCTTGAGGCCAAGTCACTCAAATTAGTCAGGTGCTTCTGGAAATGACAGCACTGGCCCCATAGGGGCTGGTGTTATTTGTGGGGCTTTGAGAGTGATGTGTTTCAATTATATGTGCAGAGTCACCTAAGTGATGTGATAAATGCATTGAGAGCCTGAAAGGAGAAGTGTTGCATTTGAGGATGCAGGTGTGATCTGCTGGTCCTCTTTAGCCAAGACTCAGGTGGTACTGAACAAGCAGGAACACAACCAAGGAATCATGCCTCAGTTCCTGCGTTAGTTCATTCTTTCATTATGTCAAAATATAGTAATTGAGAATCTACTACATGCTAAGCCCTGTGAAGCCCTGTGATAGGCACTGAGATACAGAGGGAGAGGAAAAATGCCATGATTTCCAGCTTTCACGGTGATTTTTTAAAATTCCCATCCCTCTCTAGTTAATCTCTCTCCTGAAACCATGGTAGTGTTGTGGTCACACTAGAGACGATGATCTTGTCCCCCATTTAGTTTTGCTTCACCAAAGAAGCAGGGAGGAGAAGAGATCAAGCTGCAGATCCTCTGAAACATTGCCATGGCATTAGCTCCTGGGTCCACAGACTTATACTTCCTGTGACTTTCCACTGTCAGTCATTGAATATTAACTAGAGGCCTCTTGCTATTCATGTGGGTGCGGCCAGGGCTGGGGAAATAGCTGAGCTTTGGGCTGGTTCCCAAGAAGTAGTTGGTTAATCTTGAGATGAGATGAACTCATGTCCACCCTGAAATGACATCATTTTCCAAAGGACTGGATGTGGGATCTAGGGTATGAAGCTACTCATCTCCAGGCAGAGGTGATAGTAATAGGAAGATAACTATACTCTGATTCAGGAGAAGTTGGATGAAAAAGGTATCCAATTTTAAACCAGTGGAAATCTGGCTTCCTAGGAAGAGCGAGGTTAGGTTTCAACTGAGTAGGGAACTGGTGTACAAAGCATTACCCAGGCAGAGCTTGGTTAAATGAACTGGATGTATATCCTGGAGTTAGGACTGTTTGCCAAATGAGGAGGCAGGTTCAGGGTAATGGACTCTATATACTATTGGGCATAAGGCTTGCAATAAATGATGAAGTTATAATATATACACTTTTAATTTACTCAAATTCTTGGGAAAGAAAAGAAGGTGGAAGGGAGGGAGAGAAGAAAATAAAATTAAATAGTACAGGTTAATTCACCTGCCATTCCTATTAATGTGCTATGCCCATTGAATCTATGAGATGAGGGTTGCCAAATATCTTGGCTGAAATACTGCAGCTTCTGGTAGCCCATGTCAACAATATTTGAATATTTTTCTTATCTTTAACTTCAAACTTTGTAATAACAGAATTGCATATATCTATATTTATACATAAGGAGCTGTGGTGGTGCAATGCCTAAGGCATTTGACTGCTAACCAGAAGATTGGCAGTTCAAACTCACCAGCCATTCCATGGAAGGAAGATGGGGCACTGCTTTCATAAAGATTTACACATGTACATATATAGATGGAGACTAAGCGGTGCAGTAGTTAAGTACTTGGCTGCTAACCAAAAGGTTGGTGGTTGGAACCCACCAACTGCTCCACTGGAGAAAGATGAGACACTCTACTTCTGTAAACATTATAACCTTAGAAACCCTATCGGGCAGTTCTGTTCTGTCCTGTAGGATCACTATGAGTCAGAATTGACTCAGTGGCGGCGAGTTTGATATAAATTTATATATACACACACACATTTCTTTATTTATATTAGAACTAGTTGCACACCATGGAATTAACTATTAACAACTAAATTTTGTTGTTGTTGTTGTTATGTGCCGTCGAGTCAAACCCAACTCATAGCGGCCTCTCCTTGGGTTTCCGAGGCAGTATCGCTACGGAAGTAGGATTGCCCAACCTTCCTTCCGAGGAGTGGCTGGTGGGTTTGAACCGCCAACCGTCTGGTTAGCAGGCAAGTGTCTTAGCCACTATGCTACCAGAGCTCGGGGCCGACTCCACGGCAAATAACAACAACAACAACAACTAAATAGTCAATTTAATAATAAATATATTTTGCACACATATGTATCTATCACTCACTCACTCACTGCTGGCAAGTTGCATCCGACTCATAGCGACCCCTCCTTGGGTTTCTGAGGCAGTAGCACTATGGAAGTAGATTGCCCATCCTTCCTTCTGAGGAGTGGCTGGTGGGTTTGAACTGCTGGACTTCATTAAAAAATCACTTACTGTAATATTACCATTACCACTGCCATCCCTGCCACCACCAATAAGATGCAAATATAACTATATTTTCTCCACTTTTCTAACACTTCTTATTCTGAAAAGGCCCAATTCTCCTGGCTGCTGTATTGCCTCACACAGGCTACAAAGGAAAGGAGAGCCCTGTTTTCCAGTCTAAGGCTTTTTCTATTCAGTGTTGACAACAAGCAAATATATGAGATATATTGGCACCCAAACTACTAGGAGAACCTTCAGGTTTATGCACTATGCTGAAGTTCTCTCAAGCATGTAGAGTATGTTTAACCTTTTTATACACAATTTAAATGCTTCTCTTGTTAGCATCCTTTTCCTGCTGCAGACTCTTCTTAAATGCCTCCCCTTAACCTTGTGTTGCTCTTCCATTGATAACTGTTATCTTCACTTATGTGTGACTTCTCTTGTTATGATGTCATTGCAAGAAGAGCATTCCCATTGTCAGGACAACCTGGAGTCATGTGTACTCAATTTCATCTCTACCAAAACTTCAACTCTGCTTGGTCAAACTCCAACTGTATTCTTGGCTTCCCTCCCTTCTGTGGTGGAAAGAATGCAAAGCAGTCTACGGTTCTGCTGGCTGCTGCTTCCTGTTTTGACTGTCTCTCTCCAAAGGTCTCCTCAACTTGCAAACTCTCCCTTATACTTATTAATTTAACTCTTTCTTGTTCTCCTAACTATGAAAGGAATGGTGCAGTGGTCAACACCCAGTGGCTCTATGGGAGAGAGACCTGGCAATCCATTCCCGTAAAGTCTTGACAGTCCACTTCTGTAAATTACAGCCAAGCAAACTCTGTGGGGGCAGTTCTACTCTGTCATGTGGGATCATTATGAGTTGGAATTGATTCCATGGCATATGACAACAACAACAGTTCTAACTGTGATAAGTGATCCTTGTCCAGTACAATACCTTCTCCCTCTGATCAAGATTTTCCAATCCACAGATGTTACTTGGCTCTGGGATTAACTTCTAGCCCTCTTTACCTATGCTAGACATGGCTAAGGGAAGCGACTTTGTCTTAATTTTGGTGTGAGTCTTCTCTTCTCTCACTCTGGTTTTGTGTTTTCTGCTGATTCAATTAGTTGTTTTCTTATATCAGGACTAATATACAGATTGCAGAGGTTCCCAGTCTACAGTGACTCAAACTTGTGCTCTTAAAGTCCATTATTTTTCTGTGGCTGATGCAGAAATTTCTTGGAGATGTGCTATATTTGCAGTCTAAAGGGTATGTCTACTCTGCTCTGACTGCCAAGGTTGCTCTGTGTTGCTGTGGTGGGAG